AAAAAAAAAAAAAAAAAGAGAACACGATTAATCGATTATTAAATTAGTCATCGATTATTTTAATAATCAGTTAGTCATCGCTTAATCGATTAATCGTTGCACCCGTAGTGAAAATGCTAATTGAAAAATAATAATAAAAAATAAAGGCAGAAAAGAACAAAAAGTAGCAAAGGCTAAAATAAGCAAAATATAGATGAAAGTTAACATTAGTAAAACAATGGCAAAAGCTACTTAGAAAATTTGAACCAGAAGCCCGAATAATCAACACTTAAACTAAAAGCTAAGTTTGTCTAAAAAACTTCGAAAAGTTGTAGATAAAAGATAAAATATAAAATAGTCACCAAAAGCTCAAATGACCAAGACAGTAGCTAAAAGCTAAAAATAGAGCTGTAACACTTTAAATTTGACAGAACAAAGTTATTAAAGGGACTGAAGATGACTCAATTTTATAGGAAAAATCTATAAATAATGACCATGATGACTGTAAACTCCTATCAGCAGTAATCTTGGTTCTTTTTACACATTTTATGTAATGTTTGTTAATGTTTGCTGGTTTCTGAGCTTAGATTATTACAATGTTATGTTAAACTTTTAGCAGCAGCTGTCATTGTATCTTTTAAAGCAGTGGTTCCCAAACGTTTCAGCTTTTGACCCATAAAATACCAGCAACAGAGACCAGTGCCCCCAGCTGATGTCGGTTAATAAACATTTTCACGTCAAATAAACAAGCATAGCAACAGCATAGTAGTAGGGCATAGTAACATTATTTATTACACTATTTTTGTCCATTTTAAGTACACTAATGTTTATCTTTTCTAACAACAAAGGCAAACTAAAAGTTAGTTGTCATTTTTTAGCGTAATTAATTCAGAAAATATGTTCAGGACCCCACCCTTATGTTTCAGGACCCCACTGTGGGTCCCAACCCCAACTTTGGGAATGACTGTTTTAAAGTACCCCCTGAAATTTACATCAGCCCCCCACCCCCCCGCGCGCGCTTAATCGAGCACACTGACTGACTTAGATGAGCACTAAGTTCATAAATCTGCTTTTTTAATATTTTTTATTAATACAAGTTTTATCAAACTCACTTTGTTTCTTTCAGTGTTTAAAACTTTTTTAGTGGAAATGTATTCATTTATTTATTTCATTTAAAAACAAAACAAATTTACATAAAACACAAAAAAACAAATACAAATCAAATTAAATGAAAGGTAGCAGAAGAAGAAAAAAAATCTGCCCCTGGAACTTACCTGAAAGCTACTTGTTGTGTTTGTAGTTGTCACTTTTCAGCGGCTGCACACCATTTGCAGCCTGGCTGATGAAGTTTCCAGCTGGGTCGGTGGAAGTTGCGTTCCATTTAAATCACCATTTCAGCTGGATCCCTCGCTCAGGTCTTGCAGTGAGAGCAGCGAGCACATACTTCAGCATCACGATGGATATATTAAAGAAAGCTGTTAGAAGGTTCAGATGTAAATACTGTGGTCAATGAATCTGCTGAATATGATAGATTACAGGTTATTTATTAAACTGCAGGAGATTTCTAGTACTTTTCAAATGTATCTATTACACATTCATTTTGTCAGCTGTTAATACCGTACTATACTTAGATTACTCTGACAGGTCGTCTCTGATTAAAAAATAATAAATAATAATAAATATTTATGTGAATAAATAATTACCAAGCTAAATAATTAATAGTATGAACATTGGGTAATAGTTACCAGATAATGGTCTGTTGTATTCTGCTACCATGATGATGGTTAATTTTAATATATATAGATATACTGTATATACACACGTTGCAGATTAATAGGATAAGAACTAACATTGCTCTGTCTTTTATATGAACAGGATTGTTCTAGTTAATACAGCAATAGACAGAAAGGAGATGGAATTTACAGTATTATTGTTTTAAGAAGCCTAATTTTGTTGTCTGTGTGCAGAAATGTGACACTAAACCTTGGAATCCTTCATCGTATTAAGCCTTATTGTAACACCCGATTAACAGCCTATAATTGTCATGTCTGAGTTATTTAAATATATATAT